GAACCCTGTGAATCCCACCCGGGGCATTACCCTTTAGAACTGCTCGGGCCCAACAATCCGAAGCTAAGGTGGTACCTATTTGCAATGGTTTTGAATGTTCATAGGTGCAGACTGGACGTATATCTTCCAGTTCTTCTTCACATCAGTGATGAAGACAAACCTGTGGCACCGCACTCGCAACGGCCCCATTGCCCGGCAAGACCCCTCCGAATAGACATCCTCCACCACGACCTTCGTGGCACGTGCATCAAGCAGCACGGACAGGTGAGGAAGTCCAGCACCAGGGGCGAAAGAAAGCGTGAGATGGCACAAGAGGATGCAGCGTCCATAAACTCATGCACTCGGGTTCGCCAACAGCGAAGACTGTCACAGCAATGCCAAGCCCGTACAGCATGGGCAGATGCTGAAACTCCAGCGGGCTCACAATCGTAAAACTAAGGCCATAAGCCCCGACGAAACCATGAGTCTAAACCTCTTCTTAACCCTCATCCGTCCCGGGCGTTTCAGCCAAGCAGGGCCCTTGCCGAAATCCCGAAGCAACAATCTCCTGTGCAGCTAACTGTGGTAGCTGCATGTTCTGCCCCAGCCAGGAGCGATGATCCTACGGAATTAGGATCTCGCGCAATGAGCTGGGAACAGACCCTCATAGAAACCCTTGCAGTAATCGAGTAAGCCTTCTAGTTACCCTTATATAGAACCCTGCAGTAAGCCGTTTACACCTGATGATGCCAGCACCCCACAGAATCCCTACAGTATCCCCCAAACCCTCAGCCCTTCTCCCCAGACAACATAGATGCCATCCCCGGGCACCGCTTCTCTTGATCCGCTGCGGCAGTCAGGGCCTCTTCGATCTCCTCCTGATAAATGTGCGACGAAGATGTAACAACAAAAATAAAAACAACAACAGTAGCAGTAGAAACAACAGCAGTAGCAATAACCAGCCTATTCCATTAAAATAACAATAACAGTAACAAGAACAATAAGCATGCTGCTGGTTCAGGCCCGTATTTCCACACGCTCTGTATAAAACAATGATAAAAACATTAGTAACATAAACATGAATACTGAAAAAATGTTCATAACAACCATAGCAGTAGTAGTAGTGGTAGTAGTAGTTGTTGTTGTTGTTGTAGTTGTAGTTGTAGTTGTAGTTGTAGTTGTAGTTGTAGTAGCAGTAGTAGTAGTAGTAGTAGTAGTAGTAGTAGTAGTAGTAGTAATAATAATAAGAGCAATAATGATAGCTGTTGTTGTTGTTGTTGCTGCTGCTGTTGTTGTCGTTGTCGTTCTCGTTCTCGT